CGTAGCATTAGAATTCAGGAAGCTCCAAGTTGAAACACGATGCTGGTGAACATTTTACAAAATATCAGTAGGGTGTTGTTACCTAACTGCACGTGGAGAAGAAGCACAAAAAAGAGTCAAATGACATTTCAGTTGTTTCAGTCCCAGGTCACGTCTTGAGAAAATTGCTGAAATAATGGAGGGGGCATTTTTCAAGCAGAGCTGCAGCTCCAACAGCTATGTTTACTTTAACGCTTCACTAGTGACTTCTGATTGGCTGTCATGACCTCATCTCACTGTTGCACCTAGGATGTTGCAACAGTGACATATACATACCCTTTCCGTGAAAAGAGATGAGAATACACACAACATACATCTTTCACCAAAGATGAATGGACAGTGGTTTGTCTCTTTTAGCCCTGGGCAGTTGCAGTATGGAGATAAAACACTTCGGGTTTCATTTCCCTGGAGGATGAGCACCTATCTTGTTTCAAATCAAGCAGACAGAATGTTGAACTTGAAAAATATGATTGATAAATCTATGTAAAATGATCTCTTGCAGAACTTTGCCCAAAGACCAAATGGGTGATTCCATAGGTTGAAGGATTCCACCGTGGCCCCTGCCCTCCGGTCTCATGTGGCTGCAGTGTTAGCAGGTTAATATGCAAAGCCAGTATTTGCAACTGATTTTGTATTTAGCTAACCAAAAGAGATTTGAAAAGATGCAGAATTTGTCCCTCTTTTCCATCCTCCTTACAATTGGTAATCAAAAGTAAATTAGCTTGAATTAATCTTCAGGTTTTTCCCCAATATTATTTGTGATCAAATGTAATCTGGTTTTGGTCAGGCCTTTTTAAATTTATCTATTTGCAGATATCTATTTAAATTTATCTATTTTATCTTATTCATAAGCATATTTCTGTACTGATTTAACTCTGTAGCAAGTTATCCTCCTTGCTTCTTTGAGTTTGGTGTCATCTGTCCGTTTTAGACCTGACCCAAGCCGATCAATATTTGTTGATTGAATGATAAATTAGCTATTATTTATTAGTAAGTTCATTTAGAGACTCCAAAGTAAAGAAGGCCAGGGGTGGAGGCCATGTATTTTATTTAAATCACAAGGAGTACTTGTGCTGAATAAAATGCTACATCTAGCAGTAAACTTTTGAGGATTTCTTATTAAGACTACATAGTTAAGGCAGGCCTCAAAATTAAACTACAGTGATATATACAAAAATACAGAAAGTAGAACTAGTTGAATTAACTCTTCCTTTTACCTACATCTGTCCTCTTGATCTACTAGACTGTGAGATCAAACCTAAGAGTTAATTAACAACTCTATGTATGCTTTGTCTCTTGAAATATTGGATATTCGAATTGGTTTGGGTAAATCATTATGAAAGATGCCAGAAGTTTTGTTTATTTAGTTGTAGAATGTTAGATAATCATTTTTATCATGTTTGTTTAAAGATAACAGAAGAGATTTCTGTGTGTGTTTCAAATGGCCTTAACTTATCATCCTGTTCAAAATTTAGCATGCTTAAGGAATAATTAAATATGAAGACAGTATTTCAATATAAAATATTTTAAGGTTTTAACCCTAAATTATGAAGCATTCTTTCTTAGGGTAGCAGTGTACAGTTCTTTTATGATAATATACTAACTGCCTTATCATGTAGTTTTGGAAAAATTTGCAGAGCTGTTCACTGAAGGGCATATTAGCAACTTGTTTTACTTATTTTGCTGTGTAATTACTGAGGTATGGAGAATAACAATTACTTTTCCAAATCATATGTACTGTGAGTTTTAAAGATGTAATTTTTATTTAAAAGTTAAGTTTAACTGCTGACATTTTTTTGCTATGACTATTTAGCTTCTATATATTAATGATGACAGTCCAAAATCTTTTTACTTTGCATGAGAAATTTTTTGACATTATTATGAGAAAAAGTGGAAGAGATTCTTACTGTGTATCTGATGTTAGAGCCAGTGTAGGTGGAGTAGTCTATTTTGTTGTACCTTCTTTTTCTTTCTCTTTATTAAATGGTTGTGAATGTTCTTTGTGTCTGTTGCATCAATTATATTATCAGTAAAATTTTAGTTGAAAAATACTAGGTTTTTTATGGAATGGTAATTTAATTTTCAACCAAGACACTTACTAAGAATGAACACTTCTTTTTGCAGAAAATGTTCCTCAACAATTCTTTTTATTATTATTAATTCAATTGGTTGTCTGAAATACCTAAAGATAAAATATTTTCCAAGTAATTTAGGTGTTCAAAGAGATACATTCATTGTTGAAATCTAAATGATGAAATTTTTAATTGATACTGATGATTTTAAAATAAAATCATTTTCTTCTGCTGATGCCTCAGTGAAAAATTGATGCTGTACCTTTATAAAATTGAACAAAAGGGTCATGTAATTTTCACTTACATAATCAATAACTTAGACAAATACTACTTCTTTCATGATTTTTGTGTGTCCATTTTTCATACTTATCTAGACTGGATGTTTCAAATTTCAAAGTCTGTTTAAAATGAAGTGGGCACAGTAATTTTAGTCGATTATTCCTAAAAATTGAAATAAAAACTTGTTTGATTTTATGAAAATGTTTATAATAGTTGAGTTATGAATTGTTGTCACAGTTTTATAATTCTGGTGACTATAAACTTTGCTCACAGTGGTCCCTTATTTGAAAGTCATTCAATATGGAAAAACAATACTTACCATATAGCAATAATAAAGTCCAACTGTGTTACCTTAAGTTTGAAATTTTTGGTGTTGTATTTACAATGTAGTATAGCGTTATTTCCAGTTTAAGAACTGGAAGATTCTATTTGGGACTTGCTAGCTCAATCTTGTGTGTGAGTATGAGAGGGTGTGTGTGCATGTGCGTGCGTGCGTGCGTGTGTGTGTGTGTGTGTTTAAAGTTCAATTCACTCAGAGATGGCAGGGAAGAAACATGACAGGAGACCACTTACTCATGGTACAGAATCTAGTAAGGAGGCAATTTTCTTTTTGGCCTATGGTGACCTTTTTTGACTACGTTCCTTACACCAGAGACAGTGTACTGAATGCCTCTATTTCACCCTGTTTAGCAGAGTGCAACAGTGTTCTTTAACTTACTTTTGGTGGGAGGAGAAGTTATAGCTGAAATTTGAGAAGGGCGTGAAAAGTTGTAAGAGGCACAAGGAAGAGGAGTAGGAACTTCTTCAAATGTGATTTTAATAACTACTCAAGTGTGTCCAACTGTAGAAAATCACCAAGTGACAATCTGTCTACCTGACAGTGATCACAATGAATTACAAGACTTTTGAATAGCTCTACAGAGAATAAAGCAGGACCAAATAAAATATCTTTTGTTGGTAAAACTTTTGACTTACCAGCTAAGAAACTTAAAAAAAAAATCTCGTATCCTTTGAAGCAAAATGTTGAAATTTGTAAAGCATTTGTAAGTGCTTCATGAAGGAGGCATTTATTTATCTAAAAGTTTTATTTGAACATCTGTTGAAGAATATGTGCTATTTTGTTAATCGGTTGTTATAGATTATTGTATAGTATTCTGATATATAAGTTACCTTAACAGTTCTGCCACTAAAAGTAGAACTTCATTTATCTTCAAAATCTCCAAACAGTCATGGTTACAGACAATAGTGTCATCTAATGTGAGGTGAAAATTTAAAGAATCCCAATGAATTTTGTAAGTAGGTTGCCAAATCAAGTATAGAAAAGCCAACCAAATGCAGCAATAGTGTGTTTAGCAGTAAGGTAATGGAATCCATGCTGACATTGGTTTGTCTTTACTCTCTCCAGTTTTTAAAAAATCTTTCAGTTGGTTTGGCTAAATAAATAAATAAATAACATTTAAGCCTCAGAGTAGATTCTATAGTAATAAGTTTGAAAAACTATACTTTTTTTTTTAGTAATGTTGAGCATTTGATAAGCTTTATTTTCTACAACTCTTACTTTTTTATCATAATATGTAGCATCTTTAAGTTTGACCTTATAGAATTTTACAAGAACATAATGGAAACACCCACAATACAGCATTGAATAGAACCGACAGATATATAATAGCTTCAGAAAGTAGCATTGCACGTGCTTGTCACTGGTTATTGTTTATCCTTCTCTGGTTTCTCATGGTTAGACTGTTCCATCAGTTATAAATATCAAAAGTTTTCCTAATTATAACCATAGAAATGTTTGCCTGGTTAGAAATAAATCAGACAGGAGAACATCTGTTTTATACACTGAAAGAAAGCCTTAATGAGCCGAATAAGCTATATTTTTAAACTTTGGAACTTTATTTGTAGTTCTTTGTGTAATATTTCTTAATAAAGAGAAATTATTATAGTAGTTTCAAAAGTGAAATTTCAAGGTTAAAGAAGTGTTTCCATACATCATAATAAGGTATTGGTTTATTTTGTGTAATTTCTTAAATCTCCTGAAAGAAAAGAAGTGAGTAAAATCCAAGATGCTGTAGAGACTATGTTTCTAGTAATAGAAATGTGTGCATTTCTTGAATGTTAGATCAGATTTATTGCTTTTAAATTGAATATTCTTTTTACCACTGAAAAAATTTTTAAAAGCTCATTAATGGGCAATTCTAAAGAAAAATCCTAAAAAGTGTAGTTTCAATTGTTAACTTCAATTTCAGTGAGGTTGTTTTCAAAAAATACGTATTATAAATATTAATGTGATTTGGAAGTATACTTTGATCATTTATTTCACTCACTTTTAGGCTGTCAGAGATCTGAATTTTTAATTTAAGATTATAGTATTTATGTTGGAATCATGTCTTTTTGTTCTTATAGATGTTATGTGTTTATTTACATATTTAATAAAAACAAGCTACTGCAAAGGACTTTTTATTGGAAAACTTTAAACTATAATTTTTCCTAAAAGAATATTTTATTGAACATGCAACTACATTAAATTCATCAAATTTTAGAAATTTTATTGTGAGTCAAAATGGATTCCAAGATTAACTTCTGGTATATTCTTTTATTTCCAAACAGGAAGGATATGGAGTAATAGTGCTGAATCCCAATGAGAACTATATAGAAGTAGAAAAGCCCAAGATGCATGTGCAGTCAACTTCTGATAGTGCAGATGAACCAGCAGAAAAAAGGGAAAGAAAAGATAAAGTCCTTAAAGAAACAAAGAAGCGGCGTGATTTCTATGAGAAGTATCGTAACCCTCAAAGAGAAAAAGAAATGATGCAGTTGTATATCAGAGTAAGTGAGATGACTACTTGCCTTTCTCATTTCCTTTACTTTATGTTTTATTTCATATGCAGTATTTTTTTTAGTAAACTTAATTGTTTAGATTTTAACCATTTGTATCCCATGCTTCTCTACTTGGATGAGATGTTCTGGTTATTATTGAAAATGACATAACAGGTCATTCTTATTTAATTGTGACATTTTATAGAAGTGTTAAATCAGTTGCAGTTTCCTTTTGTGTCACATGCTTCATCAAGGAAAATTCTCTAAAATAATTTTATCGTATGTGCAGAAGGAAGAAAACTGCCCAGTCTACCTTCCCAGCAGGCCATTTCTTTAAGGTATTATGCTGTTATGTATAGGAGAGAGTACGTGTAGCTGATAATTCTGAAACATATTACCTGCTGAATTAATAGCACACTGTTAAAACAGTCTTCATCTTGGGTGGTAAGTTTTACTAGGGAATGATTTGTTTTCATATGAGCAACAACCCATCTATGATGTCTAAGTTTAACTTCTGAAGGAAGATGGGGGGAGAAAGAGTAATTAATACCTTAATAAATATTGATGCAAAAACTGTTCAGGGATAGTGTAATGTGGGAATTCTTGTCCTTTGCTCTTCTCTTCCCAGTGAGCCTTTGCACTTTGTAACGCTAACAGCATGAGATCGTTACAGCAGAGCTGCTGAGGGATATCTGATTGTGTAGGGACACAAACAGTTGTATTTGTGCTTTGACATATTCTTCGTGATATATATATGTACATATATATGTATACGTGCATTGTATAAATGAGACAAATATGTGCAATTTTAAGGTCCTTATTATGGATGCTAAAAGTTTATTTTTAAATAGTAAGTCATGTCAGAAATGCTACTGGGTAAAAAGTAAGATAGTAAATTGAGAATGTTCTTCAAAAAGGAGCCACTGATAGCATTTAAATTAGACAGATTAACTTTATAATTACACTATAGGAGAGGAGTAAGATTTTAAAATATTCAACTTGAGCTACTTTTACATTTGGCTTAAAAGATCACTAATGGAATATTTCATCCAACCTTTGAGGGGAAATATGTTGCTTTCTAAATTTTTAAGTTATTATATTTGTAGTCAAGGCACAACTACTCTTATTTTTGGAACTGTACTTTAGACACTCAAGACATTTAATTGAGTCGAGTTGTGAATGTAGCATGTAAATTCCTAAGATCCCCCAAACTGTTTCCTGACCAAGAATAGCCAAAACATTCTGTGGGATGAGTTAAACAGAAGTTAAACAGATTACAAAATTTAAACATTGAAAATCATATTAGTATTTAACAAATATTTATAATTGCTAGATTATGAGTCAGTATTAGACCTGTTTGTTTTCATATAGTTACAGACCCTTTCTTTCCTATGACTGCATCAGGATCATGATGTCACCTTCTTCTCCATCCTAACCTTTCTGCTGTCACCATCATCTATGACAAAGTTAAATTTTTAAAACTTACCTCTGATACTCACATTTCAAAAATGAACTTTGTAAGGTTTTTGAAATATACAAATGATAAAGACTATTCACTTGTCTGTGTGAAATTCAATGAAACAGTGATTTGGTGTGTTAAGGTTTTCATTTCTTCTTAAACAGTTTCTTTTATTTGTCTATGACATGTACAAATTTAGCATGTATCTCAAACATCTGCCTCTGGGTTTATTTCTTTCTATTTTTCTCTATCTTGTCACCATGGCTTTGATTTTTTTCCTTTTGTTCTCTTGTATGTGTGCATTTTCTTTACCCTGTTTTTTGCAATAGCTTCGTTTATCCCTGCATCTATTTTTTCTTACACCAAAGGAAAAAAATCCCTTTATGTTGCTTCATTAAGACATGCTCTCTTTCCCTTTGTCTTTCTGAAATTCTTTTCTTTCCTTTGCAGTCCTTGTTTTTGCATTTTTTTCTTGTGTCTTTTTGCTTCTTTTTTGCTTGCTCCATTTCACTCATCAATTTAAGTTCCCATTGACAGCATTAAAAGATAAAAACAGACTCATGTGCCTAACACAACTTTGTATGGGATAGTCTTAGTTAATGAAATGGCTGTTTCTTTAATAAACAGTTTTTCTCTTAAAATATTCTGGAATTGTGCAGAATAGCAGAGGTTTGAAACTCCTCAAACATACTTCTGGATAGTAAGTTTGGTTCTTTAATGGGAAATAGGAAGAAGGGCTCCTGTTGTGTGAAATGTTACTTATTAGGTAATTTTGATCTACTCAGGAAATGTCTTTTTCCCTGTACATATCTTCAGCTAGCAAATATTTGCCAGTTTGACTTCGAATATGGAGTATGATAAAGAGAAATTAACTTTTATTCATATACTTCTCTGTCATTTACATTGGAAGTTCTCATCTGTTTCTTTGAGACAGCCTAATTTGGTACGTGGATCGAATAATTTTATCCATATTTTGTAGTTAATGAAATTGCTACATATGTGTTTCTCTAGGGTAAAATAACTAGTGAAATAACAAGTGTTAAAACCAGGACTTACAATTATTATAGATTCTTGCTCCTTTTCCTCTTTGCTATATTGTTCTATCAGTTGAAAACAAAGTGTGTATCTGAAATACGAAAATTAAACCTTATACAATAAAGGTATTAAATGATATAGTAGCTCTTGATGACAGCAGAGGTAATTGTCCATAAACAGTATGTATTCTCATATTGGATCATAATATTGATCTAGACTTACAAAGAAAGAGACTGAAGCTCAAAAGCATTCAGTAATTTCCGGAGGTCACTCAGATCTTACTAAGCTCCATGAAGGTGTTTGCGGTCTGTACAATTCAGTATAGACCTCCCAGCCTATATAGGAGCTTCCTAATAAAATGAAGAATAGAGTCTTAATGATAAATTTTAAATACGATGATGGAGCCAGTATTACAATCCCAAACTTTTTTGTCAGAAGTCCTAAATTATTAAAACATGATTTTCTGTGAGGAAACATTCAAACATACCAAAACAAGCAATAAATCCTAAATTGTTGGTCTCCTACCCAGTCCAGTATCCAGTATTTCATCCCCAAAATTAGTGTAATTGGTTTCATGAATTAATCTACTCATTATGATGCACTCACTAATTTATTTGATATATTGATCTGTACATTTTTATCTGAATATATAAAAGTAGAATATCCCACTCTCATTTTTAACTGTATCATTGTAGTCCACTGAGGATGAAAATGGAAATGTTTCATCCTGACCGAATGCTATGTCTGTTTTACACATTTGCTATACCCTCACATCCTTTGTACTTTATGGCATCTGTAACCTTGCTGTATGTTCTTCCCCTATTCCGAATTCTACCCATGTTGTAGTGTTCAGCTGAAATTTCCTGGCACTAAGACAGGTAGAAATAATTAGGATTATTTAACTTATGTGGAACTTACCTTGTGCTGTATGGAGGCAATGCTTGTCTTTTGTCTCATCATTTTATTAATATTACCAGTTTATCTTTTTTGCCCTTGTCCTAATCTGGCTGGAATTCTTTAGACCTTTGAGCTACCTTTATATATTTTGGCACTGTATGTCAATCCTTAGCAACGCAGATATGAACAACTGTTTACAACAGTGTGAGCTTATTGTGGGAGAACCAGAAACTGATACTAAACCAACTTGGCAGAATTTAATCCCCGGGAAGGAGACTAAGGCAAGAGCCCTTGGTGTAGAGATACACAGAATAGGGACTGACAACAGAGGAATGAAACTTATTTAAGTATCTAACTGGAGGATAAGAAGTTGTTTTCTAAGGAGGACCAGTTCATAGAACTTTCGAGATTCTGAGCACAATGCAGGCAAAATGACATTGATGTCGACCTGGTGATATCCAGTTAGAAGTCCATGACCATCTCTTTCCTAAGGTACGCCCTAGTGGGGAGCTGTGGTGATGGGAAGTAACGAAGGATTAGACCCAACGTGTAAAAAACAAAAGCAAAAACTGATGCTGAGGGTGCAGATGGGGAATAGAGTTACATGGCCACAGCAAGAAAAGTCGAAGTGTAGAGGAGACATTTTCAGAGTGGGAATCTTGGCAGAGCCTAGCATTACACATTGAAGATACTCAAATATTTATGGATTGATTGCTTGTTGACATCCATCAAAAATCTTTTTCCTAACATGCAAGATATTTGGTGGTGTCTAGTTTTCTGACTGATTTTTTGAGAACTCATTTGAAGTTTTGCAGTTGTTCAGAAACAGCCAGCTTGGATAAACTGAAGCTTTCTTCTAAAAGATATTTCTGATGTCCAGATTTGGGTATGTTCGCAGTATTCGTGAGGGCTGATAAATGTCATCCTGTCCTTTCTTCTGGACTTTTTCCATGTCTGTACTGATGACTTCTACTGGAGTCATTTCAATCTAACTGTTTTAGCAACTAAATTTAATTTATTTATGCTATAAACGATGACTATTTAATCTCCAGACTTTTTTATTTTCCAATATAGGTTGACTATTCCATATCTGAAATTTTGAAATCAAAAAGTGTTTCAGAAGGCTGGGCATGGTGCCACACACCTGTAATCCTAGCACTCCAGAGTGAGGCAGGAGGATCACTTTCAATTTGAGGCCAGCGTGGTCTATAAAGTGAGTTCAAGGCCAGCCTGAACTGCATAGTGAAACCCTGTCTCAAAAACCGCCCCACAAAAAAAATTTTAAAAAAATGTTTTAGATATTGAAGGGTTTTCAGGTTTGGGGATATTTGTATAGATTCTTAACAGTGGAGCATTCCAAATGCAAAAATCCAAAATCTGAACTGCTTCAGAAACCAAACTTTTTGAGCAGCAAGTGACTGTGTAGTCAAATATTTGAGCATTCCTTTTCCATGTTATCTAGTAAATAGCTAGTCTCCTTTCAACTTTATGCAAGTATCCAGTTTACACAAGCAGACATAAAGCAGGACCCAGGCCTAAAAGTTTAAGATTAGTAAAATATAATTTTATTTTACTTGCTAAGTGAGTATAAATAGAAATGACTAACTAGTGCATTATG